TGTGACATAGTACTCCAATTTCCAGGTTAGAGGTAGAAATGATCACTCACAAACTTGTTAGACTCCGCCACATTCTGTATTTTTCTGTCCCTAGCTAGATATTTGCTGCTTACACTTGTGATAATCGTGATAATGTTCATTGACCATAACAACGATGAAAGCACATCATATAAGTACGTTTTGACATCATATAATAAGTAATCCGATCCACATCATATAATGTTACAAGCACATAATATAATGATACAACCACATCATATAAAGGTGTTTGCACATGATATAAGTATACTTGCACACCATATAAGTATATTTGCACATCATATAAGTATATTTGCACATCATGTCAGGATCTTTGGACATCATATAAGTACATATGCACATCATATACGTATATTTGCACATCATATAAGTATATTTGCACATCATATAAGTATATTTGCACATCATATAAAGATGTTTCCATATCATATAAGGATATTTGCACATCATATAATGTCAACCATATAAAGGTGTTTGCACATCATATAATGACAAGTGCACATCATATAAAGGTAAATGCACATCATATAATGAAAATAGGCATAATAAGACAGTTTTGGCGTTCAATAAATATGTCTTATAATATTATTATGTGTCTATTTGTTTCTGTATACCATTGAATCAACAAAGATTTCCTCAGAATAAATATATATATACATATATACATAATTACTCTAAATATCAGCACAACAATGTTAAGTCTGCAAATCTTTGTTCTTCCCTCGCCGGGATTCTAACTCATGCTATTGGGATACCGAGACAACTCCGCCTGCACTGTGTCCAGCGCTCTATACCACTCGTCCACCTAGACTGAACTAAAAATTCAGCTTTCGGTGGCCTAGTGTTACCTTTCCTCGTCAGTAGACTAGAATCTAGAGTTGTAACACAGTGTATGGAACGCCATAGGTGTCTTATGTGTCTTTTTTATTATACGAAGGTGGTTTTCTATTATACGATGGTGGTTTTTTTATTATACGAAGGTGGTTTTCTATTATACGAAGTTGGTTTTCTATTATACGATGGTGGTTTTCTATTATACGATGGTGGTTTTCTATTATACGATGGTGGTTTTCTATTATACGAAGGTGGTTTTTTATTATGTGATGGTGGTTCCCGTGATTAACCGGAAGTGTGGCGTGTCACATGATTTGAAAACAGGGACGGGTCAATTGCTAATAGAATATGGAAAAAATCTTAAATCAAGAAATCAATTAAGTCTTTAAAATATTTTATGGATTATTATGTTTGAAATAAAACAATCAATTAATTATAATTGATAAGTGAATTTATCAAAATATCGGAATTCCACCCGCTGACCCTGCATTGTTTTCGGCGATATATCCGGGTTGCACTAACGACAGGACGATTGCCCGGATTGGGACAGGATATATTGACCGGATGAGATATAAACAGTCAGAACTTGTTTGTTATTTGATAGATTATTTCAATATTTGAAGACCTTAGAGATACATAACTATATTTTATGACAATCTAACAAAAAAAGTTAAAAAATATTTTTAAGCAAAAATAGTTGAAATGAACGACAAAAAGTGTTAATATAGCTATTGTTTACAATATTTTTTAATGAAACTAAAACTTTATAGAAAAAAAATGTTTTTCAACAAAAAAAAATGTTAAAACTGATTATATAAGGTAATTCAATTATTAAAGGTATTTGATCTCTTGTGTGAAAACTCAAATGACATGTTATTTGGCTTGATTGGTCTATTACGACCAAGTGTCAAAATTAGATAATTTAACTAAATGTTCTTGGTCTAATATGTCAAAATGTTTATCACTTATTCAAACATGTTCAAGCGGTGCTTTGCCTTTGCGCCAATTGGCATTTCATTTGCGCCAAAAAAGTCTTTCATTTGCGCAACAAACTATATTTCATTTGCGCCAAAAAAACATTTCATTAGCGCCAATGATACAGAAAAATACAGGTAAATAGTATAAAAAAATAGTTTAATTCAAAAGAGACTTTAAGTAATAATTCTAAAACATAGTTTTTGATTGCATAATAAAATATATATATATTCCACCGAAATTAGTCATCGTAACCATAATGAAAGTACTATACATTCATACATTGTTGATCAGAGACTTTTCTTAATAATGTGTAAACACAGTTCTGTTCTAAATTAACCAGAACATAAAAACTGAAAAATGGACTATACACTGGAGTAAAACCAAACGTTTGTTCTGGCACGAAGACTTGTAAGCAACGGCTCGGATGTACTTTTTTACACTGGATAACCTATATGTGTGGTCATAAAAATAACAGATTTATTTCCTTTATTTACAAATAAGGAGGGCATGCCATTAAGGAGATGGTATATGCCCATTGGCTATGAAATAACTATCCCAAAAGTTCACAAGAAGTGGACGAAAGCCACCAGACAACCGTACAGCCTTCAAAAACCTATTCCGTATAGTCGGCTATCAAAGACACTAACAGGAAAAATATGAAACAATCGAATTCTGAGTAAACTAACGGAAACTTAACCAGAATTTACCATCTTAACACCTCATACATGTGGACACTATTTTATAATATAAAACCTTAGTTACTCGCTGTTCTATATTAAACAATAAGTATGAACTTTTTTGAATTAGTTACACAGGGAGGAATACTTAAAAGAAACTCATCTTATTCACGATGTGGCAATGGATATTTCAAATTTCTTTGTTATATGTTACCTGTAAAATGGCGAAAATGTAGGGTTTACTTTTGGCGCAAATGAAATATAACCTTGTGGCGCTAATGAAAGATTGGATTTTGTCAAAACTGGCGCAAATGCAAACTTTGTTATTAAAACTTTGTTGTTTGTTACATGTAAATGAAAACTGGAAACTACGGTCACAATTGATAAAGTAGATTATATGGTACTATTTGTTTAATATGTGTCTTTGTTTGTTATAATTTTGCTTTCTGTTTTCATTTATATTATGTCGCTTACTATATTATATAATTTATGTTGTTGATGCTATAGCATTATTTTATATGCTGATTTGCAATAAACTTATTACAATTACAATTTAATATCTGTACTTCTAAATTGTGCTGGTGAACTCAATCAGGTCAACATTTTGGGATCAAATATATAAGTTTTAACGGATAGGACTTATTTTTTCATACAATTTATAAGTTTTAAAATTATTTCAAATGTATCTCAATTTAAAAAAAGATGTTTTGAAAATTTTTGAAATTTTGAACACTTTCTGTCGATCATGCCAATATAATTCGTCGCATAATTCGCGCAGGTAAAATCCGTCCGGTCAACTTTTCTTGTAGAGAAACAATTTTTTACTTTAAAGTTAATTTTTTTGTATAATTTATTCATTTGTCTCCAAGATTCTTTTTTTTTCATGAAATTTTTACTGTTAAACAAACAAGATAGTAACAATTTTTGTCGATCAGTTCAAAACATTAAAAACGTTTTTTCGGCGATTTTGAAAACTGTCGGGTCAACTTTTTTTTTGTCAAAAAACATGTTTTGTTACTATACAGTTTACATTTTCATATATAATATATTGATTAATATCGCATAACAGATTTCTTAGTTTTATCTAAAAATGTTGTAAAACAAAAGCTATATTGACATTTTTAGTCGTTCATTTCAACGTTTTTTGTTAGATTTTCATAAAATATAGTTATGTATCTCTAAGGTCTTTAAATATTGAAATAATCTATCAAATAACAAAAAAGTTAAGACTATTTATATCTCATCCGGTCAATATATCCTGTCCTAATCTGGTCAATTGTCCTGTCGTTAGTGCAACCCGGATATATCGCCGAAAACAATGCAGGGTCAGCGAGTGGAATTCCGATATTTTGATAAATTCACTTATCAATCATAATTAATTGATTGTTTTATTTCAAATATAATAATCCATAAAAACTTTTAAAGACTTAATTGATATTCTTGATTTAAGATTTTTTCCATATTCTATTAGCAATTGACCCGTCCCTGTTTTCAAATCATGTGACACGCCACACTTCCGGTTTATCACGGAACCACCATCACATAATAAAAAACCACCTTCGTATAATAGAAAACCACCATCGTATAATAGAAAACCACCTTCGTATAATAGAAATTAAAGCACCTTCGTATAATAGAAAAGCACCTTCGTATAATAAAAAAGACACATAAGACAGCTATGGCGTTCCATAACAGTGCATGATATATTAGATATGAAGATAGAATTGATTGCAGATTAGCTAAATTATCTATCGAAAAGGATCATATTAAAGATGTAGTCACAGAAATAATTATATAATATATAGCATATTTAAATTATAACATTATCATGTGTAAATAACATGCAAATTATAATAATGATATAAGAATATATATAGTTATATAAAACACCAGACCACAATAAACACTTTGTTCACGAAAAAAGACTATATATAAAGACTGAGTCCACTTTAAAATGAAAGTTCTCAGTTTCCAACTTTAACGCAAAAACCACAGGAAATTAATTGTAAATAACTATTTTTTGTTTGAACTTGTAGTAACAAAACTATACTGTAGGAACATATAAACAGTTTAAGAATATAATCAAACGGACTTTATAAAAATTTTTAATGAGAAATGATGTTACAGAATAAAATGCTTAAAGCATACATTCCTGTTATCAAATACAATTAGTATATATTTTCTACAATGTCACTTGAAACAACAAATATATATAAACAGTTGCTGAGGCTATGCAAGCTTTTTGTAAGATATGTATCCTAGCCTGTATTCTTACACTAACTAACTATTTATTGAGCAGGAAAATAAATTTCTCCTTTTTAACTGTTTAAAATATATGATTCTAATTAGATATCTAATCATGTATTTGTATCGTATCATAGTGACCTCTATAGATTTGTCGTACTGTTTCCGTTATGTGTAAGTTACCTTGTTGTTTTCTATTTATAGAACAAAACAGTCATTACGATGCATTATCACACACTAACCTTGTCTTGATCATTTGCCAAGACAACCATTGAATTGTCTGTTATTTACTTCAGTTTCTGAAGGTTAGTACATGCTTTATTGTCTTTTTTTTAAATAACAACTTATTAAGACTTTTAATCTAGAATATATGTACAGTTTACTAAAAGTGGTAATTTCAACATACATGTTCAAAATGCATTTCCGGTTTAGTTGATGTTTTCTGGAAGTTGTTTATCTCCCTATTGTTTGAAAAAACACCAAACGTACCATCAGTGGCGTAGATTGACCCTTATTGCTATAGAGGCAAATAATTTGCAGCTTGGGACTCGAGGCTTTGGCATTTATCATGAACCCCAATGCTGATAATGCATGGTTTGGAAAAATTGATTATAGGCCAAACCCTCAGCGAAAAGGTATTGCATACACACGAATTTCATAACGGATCTTTTAGGTAATTATTATTTTCCTAACATTCCGTGGCAACTATGTCATGTAGATTCAGTTAGAAGAAATCAATAATACTCCCTGAATGTAGGTTATGCAAAATGTGTCAGTCACTGAAGAAGATAAAAGGGGAATTTAGGCTGTCACTGAAAAAAACAGAATATACTTGGACATGGGCAGAAATATTGCCCTGAAACATACCACCTACGAAACTTTGCATGATTTTTTGCAATGATTCTTTAGACATGTTAGAGTACAAATATATTGGCTTCACCCAACAGGACAAATCAGCTGATTTTAAACTACCCAGGCCATTCTGACCGGCTTTGTGCATATCATACGTAGTATATCCCGCATATCAAAGGAATGTCCTTCATTATATTTTATAGCCGGACAGAAGAGATCCAATTGACCATTTTTCTATAAACTAGACGACCATTAAGTTCGTTTTACACGCATAAATATAACTGGACCAGGCTATGATGATACCTAGCAGTCGAAACAAAATCATTAGTCTAAAAAAAATACAACCAACATCAACAGACAAACAACATACCAAAAACACTACCAAGAACAATAATATTTGAGCAACAAGAACCCCGCTAACGACAGGAAATGATTTGGGGGGTAAGCAGTTCCTGCTTCAGTAGTGAAACCCATTATGTTGCTCATTACACGTACAAATCCGATGATAACGTGTTTACGGTAAGGAAAGGGGAAGGGGATTGAATTGTGAATACTTCAGTTTGAACATGTCAATGTTCATCTGTGACATAACCAATCCTTCACCATCAATTTACTAGTAATTGTTAGCACGTCTGTTATTTTCAAAAATGATGACCTAAAATCTCACCGTAACGAACTTTTGGTTCAGCAGCTTCTTTGCAAGCAGAGACTATCTATCAAGGCGTAAGGATATAGTGGTATCAATTATTTCACGTTCACTGGATAATATATGCAATCAACATGGACATCAAACTTTGAATTTTTCAGTGTGATAACATCAGCTATATAGAGAAACGTAAAATTAAAGGATAGCGCTTTCTTCTTTTTATTTTTCTTGAGAAGCAACTGTATGGAAAAAGTACCAAATTCTTGAAAACATTTGATTACCATCGGTTTGCTCCCTGGTTATTTAAAAACTCTCCCAGAAAACAATGACAAATGTGTTGTCAATAAAAAAATCGAACATCTTCATGTCAGTTTCACAGAACTGCCATGTGTGAATCCGAGAATGTCTTTTATACAGAAAAGGTTTTTTCCTTCCGAATTTTTTTTTTATCTCTGCTTGCCCTATGTAATAATCTAAGTTCAATATGTCTAAATAATTGCAACAGTAGTACCAGTATACCGGTGTTCAAAAGTCATAAGCCTCGAATGAGGAATACTTATGTAAGAGTAGTATACTGACGGACTTTAGAAACGCAACACACATTTTGGTGATTTTCTTTACCAAATCATGATTGGTCCTCATAGAACTACTATGCATGCTTACCATACTTCTTTATGGTTAGAAAAATTCAATATCTGACTTACCTGCCTGAGGTTATGGAACATACCGGATTATTGAGGTCGCACGAATTTCTTAAAGCTAAATTTGAAACCCATAATGATTTTTTTAAGGATTTGTTTTCGTGAAACAATTCTTTCAATCCATACACACACTTGAATCATTAAAAAATTGTTGCACCTCCATATTGCCGAGACTAAGCAATGAAAATCTGAATCAGGCCATAAGAATATTCCAGGCAGGAATACTCGAACGTGCTGTTTTCAGACAATGACACGTCAGAAACTCGTTTTACTGTCCTTACAACAACGATACAGACAGACGGGTTTTGTTGATGGCCATCCATAACCAGATCAATATGTAGTGACAACGCAACGTCAATAAAATTTGATTATGCAACGTCATTTGCGAGACTTGTTTACGGCTGCAACGTCAAATGCTAATTAAGTGGACGAATGCAATGGCAGACAGATTCATGCCAAAAATGTTTTCCATATACTGAAATGCTAAAGAATCGACTGCAGAAAAACATTTGAAGCTCTAAAGTTTAAACCACTTATAATAATTGCTAAAACACACTGTAATGCATGGGACAGAGGCAAAATCAGAAGGTACAAAACAGAACTCAAAACATGCCCAACAAAACTGGTTGACCTTTCTGACAATCATTTTGACGTTGGTTGCAGGCAGTCATTGCCTTCGACGGTGACACATCCATTGATAAGGGGAAACCACCTGGTTTCAGTGCTTACCACATGATTTGAACTTTAAAAATGACGTCATGAGTCCAACTTTTGAACTGCAAACTTTTTTTCAGACAATTAAGAAATGAATACAATTTATGTTTATATATTTATTAAAAATTGCCTATTTGAAAATGAGAATAAAAAAGAATAATCTAGTGTTGCGTTTTTAAAGTTCGTCAGTATATAATCCTTGGATCCATCTTTATCCTGCACTACGGAAAAGCCAAAAATTTTCTTAGTATAAAAACGTCACTGCTTAAATGAAAGCTACACCACTGCAGAACAGTATTATAATTGTTCACGCCAAACGAAAATGAAATTTGAGTAGACTTTACACATGTTATATGCATTTTCATTATTTGTGGATTGCATCATTTTCTGTTACAACATAAGTCGCAATAGGGCTTTCTTACAATTTCACGAAAGGTACGTACACTTTACGATTCATACGTAAGACTCGTTTTGAGGGATCCTTTATTTTGACATATTTATATAATCTAAATCGAAACGTCAGGGAACTTCGATGGCGTTTTGCCCAAATGTTTGCCTATCAAGGACCATTAAACTGCATGTCAACGACACGTGTTCAACTTTAATTTTCGTGTGATATAGGAATTTCGGAACGTTCTGGAGGTAAAAATATGATACCACCAGGGAGAAGGAGATAACTCTACGAAATATCTAAACATAGGCTCGTCAGAAGAAGAATTAATACTCTTAAAAGTTTGTGCTCAACCCCCCAACCCCTTCCCCCCAAAAAAATTACAACCTTGCATTATCCAACCTAAGAAAATACAACGGCAATTAAATTGGCTTCCCCCTCTCACACAAACAAAATAAGATAAAATAAAAAATAAACACTTTCTAAATTAAAAAAAATTCCAACCCCCAAAATAGTAAAACTGAAAAAAACACCTCCAAAATATATTATGTCCGACTCGTTAATTAACTTGCAGGTCTTCCCCGCTTCCCTCTGGAAGCTACCCAGTGTCGCCTTGTGGTGTGTTCATACACCCTAGTTAGGCTCAACTATGGAATCGATCTTTCGGCGCATAATTGCGTTTTCGTCAAGAAAATTCGTGAAATATTTGCCACTGGACATTAAGAGACCAATATTTATCAATCTTCCAAGCATATTTACTGTTTGATCGTCATAATTACACCCAGAATATATATTGTGCAAGAATGTAGACTAATTTTCTTTGTATACATTTAGGTGTTGAAATGTATATGTTAATGAACAAAACAATATCTAAAATTATTAGTTGATCTTTATTTTGAGCTGAAGGGCGGATTCAGGAGTGGAGCGCACCCGAGTGTCTGTACTCTGCAGACATATTAATATCTTTCTTTTCTAGATCTACGCCTTAGTCTATTATATGTACTACTAGGTCAGAGACAGAGACGGTTAAATTTCCCTAAACACCCAAGTTTTTTTTGTTTTCTTTGAGTATAACTTGTTGTTTGTTTCTTCGTCTTTATTACCATTAAATGCTTGTTATATAGCATGTATATATTAAACGTTATTTGCATTGATGTAGAGGATCATCTATTTGTTGGTTGGTTGTTGTCTCGTGAACATGTATCCGATATCTTACAAGTAATAGTTAAATCAAAACGTTTGTGAGGGTATGTGTTGATTACCCCCCACCCTCCAATTGAATTGACATTGGATTTCACATGTTCGCTCGTGTTTACATCTTTTGTAAGCGATAAATGCACCACTGATTGGTTCACAACTATTAAATGATTAAAAAAAATTAACGACGTGTAAAGAATGGTCCAAAATCAATTGCGCGTTCGTAGCATTAACTGGAAATATTACTAGTTGTATAAAGACCATGAAAATCATATGCGGAGTACTAAGGCAACGACCATTTCGCTTTCAAAGAAGGTTGTGGGGGGGGGGGGGGGGGGGGGTACACGTTTTTTTATACGACCGCAAAAAAATTTTTGTGGTCGTATATTGGTATGACGTTGGCGTCGTCGTCGTCGTCGTCGTCGTCGTCGTCGTCTGGCGTCGTCCGGCGTCGTCCGTAGACACATTGGTTTTCGCACACTAACTTTAGTTTAAGAGAATGGATCTCTATGAAATTTTACCACAAGGTTCAATATCACAAAAGGAAGGTTGGGATTGATTTTGGGGGTTATGGTACCAACAGTAAAGGAATTAGGGGCCAAAAAGGGGCCAAAAATAAGCATTTTTGTAACTTCCAGACATAACTTGTGTGTTAGTGTATGGATCTCTCTGACATTGTACCACAAGGTTCCATATCACAAAAGGAATGCTGGGATTGATTTTGGGGGTAATTGCCTCAAAATTTTAGGAATTAGGGGCCAAAAAAGGGGCAAAAAACAAGCATTTTTCTAGTTTCATGACAATAACTTGTGTGTAAGTGTATGAATCTTTCTGAAATTGTACTACAAGGTTCCATATCACAAAGGGAAAGCTGGAATTGAGTTTGGGGGTAATTGCTGAAACGTTTAGGAATTGGGGCCAAAATGGGGCCAAAAATAAGCATTTTTCTAGTTTCCAGACAATAACTTGTGTTCAAGTGTATGGATCTCTCTGAAATTGTACTGCAAGGTACCATACCACAAAGGGAAGGCTGGGATTGATGATGGGGGTAATTGCCTCAATATTTTAGGAATTAGGGGCCAAAAAGGGGCAAAAAACAAGCATTTTTCTAGTTTCAGGACAATAACTTGTGTGTAAGTGTAAGGATCTTTCTGAAATTGTACTACAAGGTTCTATATCACAAAGGGAAAGCTGGGTTTGAGTTTGGGGGTAATTGCCCTAAACGTTTAGGAATTTGGGGCCAAAAAGGGGCCAAAAAACACATTTTTCTAGTTTCCAGACAATAACTTGTGTTCAAGTGTATGGATCTCTCTGAAATTGTACTGCAAGGTACCATACCACAAAGGGAAGGCTGGGATTGAGTTTGGGGGTGATGAATCATAAGGGGGTTCAAAAAATTGGGGGGGGGGGGGGAATTTTTTTTTTTTTCCTTTTTTTTCTTTTTTTCCTTTTTTTTTTCTTTTAAAATTTTCCATTTTAAGTTGGTTATTTCTGATTTATATTTAAAAGCAAATAATAATGATATGGTAGGAGATACACACCAAACAGGATGTGTAAATTATTATATAATAAGTATTGTGCAATAGCAAGAAATTTTCAATTGCACAGTATTGCACAATAGCAAGAAATCTTCAATTGCACAGTATTGCGCAATAGCAAGAAATCTTCAATTGCACAGTATTGCGCAATAGCAAGAAATTGTCAATTGTACAGTATTGCGCAATAGCAAGAAATATTTAATTGCACAGTATTGTGCAAAAGAAGATTTGCTTATTTCTTGACCAATTTCAATGGGGTTTATTCTTGAATTCTTGGGGTTCTTTAATATGCTGAATCTAACCGTGTATTTAGTTTTTGGATTTTGGGCCCCGTTTTTAAATTGGTCCACATTGAGGTCCAAAGGGTCCAAAATTAAACTTTGTTTGATTTCATCAAAAATTGAATTATTGGGGTTCTTTGATATGCTGAATCTAACGGTGTATTTAGATTCTTAACTTTTGGTTCCGTTTTCAAATTGGTCTACATTAAGGTCCAAAGGGTCCAAAATTAAACTTAGTTTGATTTTAACAAAAATTGAATTCTTAGGGTTCTTTGATATGCTGAATCTAAACAAGTATTTAGATTTTTGATTATGGGCCCAGTTTTCAAGTTGGTCCAAATCGGGGTCCAAAATTAAACTTTGTTTGATTTCAACAAAAATTGAATATATGGGGTTCTTTGATATGCTGAATCTAACCATGTATTTAGATTTTTGATTTTTGGGCCCCGTTATCAACTTTGTCCACATTGAGGTCAAAAGGGTCCAAAATTAAACTTTGTTTGATTTCATCAAAAATTGAATTCTTGGGGTTCTTTGATATGCTGAAGCTAACCATGTATTTAGATATTGGATATTGGACCATAATAGGTGAATGTCCAATTTAAAATTTTTAAGTTCTTAGACCACATTCATTCTGTGTCAGAAACCTATGCTGTTTCAAATATTTAATCACAATCCAAATGCAAAGCTGTATCAAGCTTGAATGTTGTGTCCATACTTGCCCCAACTGTTCAGGGTTCGACCTCTGCGGTCGTATCAAGCTGCGCCCTGCGGAGCATTTTATTCCGTTTCACATTATTTTTTTAACCTTTAACATTAAACCTTTGAATAAATAGAAAAAAATTTCATCACAAAATATTGTTTCCCCGATTTATTTCACATTATTTTTTCGAAACATTGTAGCATTCTTGTCTTGCAAATCTCGATGATCCACGTTGACAATTTGATGATAGCATATTAATTAATAATAAAAAAATGTTTATGGTGAAACGAATGCTTGAACAATTCCCGCGCAAATGTGTGTAATCGTGGTTAACATAAGTAACTTATTGGACGAAAGTGTATTTGAAACTATTTTTCTTTATTTTCAGATATCAAAAGCATATCTTATTTGCGATATACTTAAATTTTAAAGACACATTTGGTTCAGAAAAGAATGCTGTTTTACCGGATTAAACTAATCATGCTAATTTATCGTAGAAATGTAATATACGTTTCCGTTATGTCCGTTCGTACCTTTTCGTATAAATATAAGAAGCTCTAATTTGCGATAGATAAAAAAAAGTTGTAAGCTATATCAATAAAGAAAATTGAAAAAGATTCGAAACCGAAAATTTAAAAAATGGGAAAATCTGGCAATGCCTTAAGAATGATTTTATAAAGATAACATTAAAACCCAATTCGCATAAATGTTCATAGTTTTATATCAGTACAATATTGCTGATATCTTGGCTGTTAATTTCCATGGGAACGAATCGTCCACCAGCAATGATAAGTGATTGAAAAAGGCTTCAAATTTATCATTCTTATAATACTGTTTATCAGACGCCCAATCGTCTATACAAGATTCACCAGTGAAAAAAAAAAAACCAAAAATATTTCAGGTTATCTTTTGAAATAAAACAAATTAGATTTTAATGTGATATTTTTCAAATATGGCCTTAGTCATATGTATGTTCTTAATTAGTTCACAATAAAAAAAGTTCTTTTCTGATATATTATTGCTAGATTAAAATGTTGAACAAGAATACAGTTGGTGTTAAAATATGCGTCAACTGTATGACATATTTAGGACATGCTTAGATATGGGTGTGGTTATGGATTTTTCCCTGCCTTTCTATTTGTTGACACTTCACGCAAACAATAGAAAATCTTGTTCATTGCATTTTTAGTCCCCTACCGATAAAGTCAAAGGGGACTTTAGGTTTGCACTCTGTCTGTTTGTCTGTCTGTCTGTCCATCCGTCAGTCCGGCAAATCAGTTTTCCGCAATTGTTGTCTTCGTGCTTGAAGATATTGATTTGATATTTGGTATATTGTTTTATCATGACAAGTTACAGATCAAGATCGAATATTGTTCCGGTCTGATAATTTTGTGCAGAGTTATGGTCCTTGGACTTAAAAAATTCACTTAAATAATCAGATTTCCACACTTGTTTTCGTCATGCTTGAAGATATTGATTTGATAATTGGTATATAGTTTAATCATGACAAGTTACAGATCGAGTTTGAATTTTGTTCTGGTCTGATGATTTTGTGCAAAGTTATGGTCCTTGGACTTAAAAAATTCACTTAAATAATCAGTTTTCCACACTTTTTTTCGTCATGCTTGAAGATATTGACTTGATATTTGTTATATAGTTTACACAATGACAAGTTATAGATCAAGTTAGCATTTTGTTCCAGTACAATTAATTTTTAACTGGTAGGGGACTATGTATTGCGATGCAATACTCTCAAAATGCTTGTTTTATATCACACATCACAGATAAAATATCAATAACATCAATTATATATAACCAGATAATTTAACAAGAAACAACACTTATTTTATATATCGATAACAATTAGCATTGTTGTACTTAATTATCATTAATTTTATAATTGAAAGGTTAACCATGTTGCAGAATTTTGTGCGCCAGTTCCTTCTTCTTAGTGAAATTGCAGCAAATGTGGTAAAAACATTCCTAGAAAATAAATATCAACCTGATGATTTCAAGACATTCCTAGAGAATAATAAAATCTTACTCTACCATTTACACGATAATCACAGAAGCGGTTGTTGTACATGTATCAATTTACCTAGGCAGCAAGTCATTCGAAAAGTACAGTTTGACAAGCTTTTCGTCACCAATGGACAACATTGTCAAAAACTTGCTCAAAAGTGTCATTGTAAATTCATTGCTAATCCTGGTATTCAACTGGTAGATGTTGATCTAACATTGTTAATTTGCCTTTTAAACAACTGTTATATTCTGAATCCTCAACAAGAACAGTGTGTTACTGACATACGAACTGTCAGAAATGAAATCGCCCATTTTGCACACGATAATGACATTGACAATATAACGTTTAATATTATGTGGGGAAAAGTAACGAATGCTACTATACATTTGGCTATGTGTATCAGTCCGAGTTATTCTACAGAAATACAGGATAAAATAAGACAACTAAAGGAAAGGACAATATCACCAGTCGAGTACACCGATGCATTACTAGAAATTTGTCAATGGAAACTTAACCATGATGAGGTGAGTTTTTAAGGTTTATTAGCAGGAATTTACACATATAGTTGTGTACAGACACACCTGTGCACCAATTAAAAACCTTTTTGGATTTTGTGCTTCTGGTTGAACACTGGAAACTAAAGCAAAGACAACACGAATCTCTTTAAATAAATATGTTAAATAACTAGAATTTCCCAATATAGATTTTTTCTTACATTTTTAGTCCCCTACCGACGAAGTCGAAGGGGACTTTAGTTTTGCACTCCGTCCGTCTGTCTGACCGTCCGTCTGTCCATCCGTCAGTCCGGCAAATCAGCTTTCCACACTTTTTTTCTTCATTCTTGAAGATATTGATTTGATATTTGGTATATAGTTTTATCATGACAAGTTATAGATCAAGTTCGAATTTTGTTCCGGTCTGATGATTTAGTCCAGAGTTATCACGGTCCATATCTAATGTTAGAGTACTACATTTTGTATGTTAAACCATATTTCTGTACAAAGAGAGATAACTCATTTTTTTTAAAGACATTCTTTGGTTAATTGTTTGAAGTTAAAAGTTGTTGACATTTTATAGATAAGTTACAAATCTATATTAGTTTGTGACAAATGAAAGAAAAAATATTTGGAACTATTAATTATACTTGATTATAACTTGAAAATAAATATATATTGTATTACATCATATCTAATATTAGAGAACTATTAATCATATCTAATATAAGAGTGTTTTCCACACTTTTTGTTATGCCCCCGCCGTAGCGGAGGGGGCATTAAGTTTTACCCTTGTCCGTCTGTACGTACGTACGTACGTAAGTCCCAAAATTGGTTTCCGTTCTCTAACTTTAGTTTGCCTCAACCAAATGTTATGAAACTTATACACAATGCTTATTACCACAAAACACAGATCAAGTTTGAATTTGGTGGCGTCACTTTTACCGTTCTAGACTTATCCTCTTTACAAATGGAAAAATTGCCGAATTTTTCGTTTCCGTTCTCTAATTTTAGTTTGCCTCAACCAAATATTATGAAACTTATACACAATGCTTATTACCACAAAATACAGATCAAGTTTGAATTTTGGTGGCGTCACTTTAACCTTTCTAGAGTTATGCCTCTTTATAAATGGAAAAATTGCAAAATTTTTATTTTCTTCTAAATATCAAGTAATTTTTATTAAAATTGGAGTTATCTTCCTTTGTCCATGATTATAAATGAATCAACTACATTCAATACTTTATACAATGCAATGTTTAATTTTGACTTCCGCTGATAAAACACAGATCAAGTTGAATTTGGGTAGTGTCACTTTAACCATTATTGAGTTATGCCCCTTGATAACTCGAAAGGTTGCAAAATTTTTAGTTTCCATTCTGTAACTTAAGTTTGCCCCAACCAAACATTATGAAACCTATACACAATTCATTACCACAAAACTAAGATCAAGTACAAATTTTTTGTTCCGTTTTCTAACTTTAGTGCCTCAACCAAATGATAAGAAACTTATACACAATGCTTATTACTACATAATACAGATTAAGTACGAAATTTGGTGGCAACACTTTTACCATTCTTGAGTTGTGTCCCTTTATAAACATAAAAATTGCTGAATTTTTCATTTCCGTTCTCTAACTTTAGTTTGTCTCAACCAAATGTTATAAAACTTATACACAACCGTTCTAGAGTTATGCGTGTTTACAAATAGAAAAGTTGCTGAATTTTAAGTTTCTGTTCTCTACTTAAGTTAGCCTCAACCAAATGTTATGAGACTTACACACAATACTTATTACCACAAAACTCAGATCAAGTTCAAATTTGGGTAGCGTCACTTTTACCGTTCTTCAGTTATGTCCCTTAATAACTATATGATATGCAAGCGGGGGCATCATTATGCTTGGAGATATTGATTGATAATTGGTATATAGTTTTATCATGACAAGTTACAGATCAAGTTCAAATTTTTGTTTCGGTCTGATCATTTTGTGCAGAGTTATGGTCCTTGGACTTGAAAAATTCACTCATATAATCAGTTTTCCACACTGTTTTTAGTCATGCTTGAAGATATTGACTTTATATTTTCTTTATGTTTACACCATGACAAGTTATAGAACAAGTTAGCATTTTGTTCCAGTATAATGAATTTTTACCCGGTAGAGGACTATGTATTGCCATGCAATACTCTCAGAATGCTGTTACATTTCAGAGTACTTCAAAGATATTCCATCTACTTCAAGTTATGCAACTTCAAAATGTAACCCGTGATGAAGAGATCAAACGTATGGAAATAAGAATCTTAGATGCTATTAGTAATCAGAGGTCAACAGAAAATCAATACAATTCCATTAGATTAGCTCCGGACGAAACAGAAGTAAAAACAGGTAAGGAAGGGACAATTCTTCCTAATTATTTAGTTCTTTAAAGAAACTTTTTAGAAAAAGATAGTACTAGTATTTATACATATAATTCTTTAAACTTGATTGCGGTTATCTTTATGTAAGTCCCCGAGAGCGTCATTTGTACGCTAATGTGGGGACAAGTGAACTCTATATAGGCAGTGGCGAAGCTACCATTGACGCAACGACGCACTAACTTGCACAAACAAAATGGCAAAAAAAAATCATAAAAAAGAAAGGTTTCCGTGTTTTCTATCAGTTCAGTCTTGTTGTGCGTATATCGGTATGTTGTCATCAAAAGTTTTATTACCGCTAAATTTTGAAAATCAAAAATGAGCCTAAAGAAAGCAACTGCTTCGAGTAAAAAAATTGATTCCTTTTTCCAAAAGAGACAAAATGACGTTGTGGAAGCAGAAGCTGGCCCATCTGACAGCCAGAGCACGGAGTCTGTGCCAAAGGCACCCGAAACTCCTAGTTTTGAATCTTGTTCGGTGAAATCGGATTACCTCCCAAACTATCTATACATAGGGTAGCTTTCGAAAGAAGATTTTAACAGACGACAATGTGAAGCTCCAAATAATGAAGAAGAAATAGGAAACTGTAGACGACTTTTCATTTCCTGCTAGGTAAAATGAACTTAAAATTCTTTAGGGGCTCCTGGAAAAAAAGGGTGGGGTTCCACGTCCAATATTAAAATGTTTTTTTTTTATAAAAATACTAAAGAATCTGGCAATAGCAAGAAGACACGTAACAGCATAAACTCATCCGTAATGCAATACACAAAAGATCGAGACATGCAGAGATCATCACATAATGATATGTGATAAAGTAGCGCCGACCCCCCCCCCCCCCCCCCCCAAAAAAAAAAAAAATCCCATAGGCTCCTGCACACACATTGACGGTCAGCTCTAAGTGGATCAAACTACCCCCCCCCCCCCCCCCCCTCGCGCACAATTATGAATTTTCGGTAATTATATATATCAGAACCTGCATACCGTCCATCATATATAGTCGAAAATGCAAGACGATTGCACTTCAAATGAAAGAGTAACCGGTCGTGGGGCTGATGTTGTTTTCAGACTTGAAATTTCCATTATTTGCCATTTATATCATTATTTATTCTTCTTGTGTTTAGTTTTGTCTCGTTGTTTCCCTTCTCCTAGACTTAGTTTTAACATAGTTATTTATTGGGAATTGCAAACAACTTATTGTACCTCGCTACTTTGTGGAGTGCGAAATGGTGGCCGTGTAGCATATTTTCGTGTTTTTTTTTCAAACGCTACTACATGTGAGAGTTCGTTTACGTTCTTGGGTCAAATAGCTTTCTGTGCTAACCATTAACAGTCCTATTCCGAAAGATTATCATGGTTTCTCAATGACATCATTCATGCATCAAATATCGTCGAGGGAATTCCGGAAATTTCTTCCTTAGGTCGTGGACTTCAATTTCGGTTGTTTACCTCTAAATGATGACGAAACATCCAAAGGTTTGAACCTCGTCTTTTATTTGTGATTTCCTAATAAACACCTAAAACTCCTCAATGGGTGCATGGATGAATGTGATAGACTTCATATGAATTATCTTAGTAAATAGGTCTATAATAGTTTGAAACTTACATATTTTTCTGAATATTTATGAGCAGTTGGTTGCTTTCAAGGACATTAGCGGTATAAAAAGAAAACTTTCAAGTGTCTGGTTGAAGAAACATACTGTACCTGGTTGAGGTACATTGTATTCTGTTTCAAGAGATGCCCTATATTGCGCATGCTGTGTTTTAATTGGGAATGAGAATACCCGTGATAAATCGTTCGTTACACGAACAACTTGAATCCCATTCTCATAATGATCAATGTTCCCTCCATTTCGTCGATGTCAAGGAATCTAAGACAGAACCCATCACTTCACTGCTTTCGACGAAATACACGGAAGACATTGAACGTAACAGACACATACTTAGCCAGATCATCGACGTATTAATTCTTTGTGGTCGTTAGAATATTGCCATCAGGGGGCATACTCCAGAAAAAAGTAGTTTTATGGCAATTTTGCGCCATACAGCCAAACAAGACGAAATATTGAAATCTCATTTAGACAACCAATTTGCGAAAGTCAAGTACACTTCTCCGGACATACAAAATGAGATACTGACCATGTGTGGCGAGATCGTACGAAATCGTATTGTTCGTGATTGTAATAAAGCAAATTTCTTTGCTTTGATTGGGGATGAAGCAACCGATGTTTCCACCCAAGAACAGATGTCTGTTTGTGTAAGGTTTGTCGATAATACTGATGGCAAAATTTTGATGAGAGAGGAGTTTTTAGGGTTTGTTAGGGCATCAGCAACAACAGGCGAGGTTCTAGCTGATTTGTTTATTTCCACGCTCGAACAATATGGCATACAAATTGGAAATATGAGGGCACAAGGGTATGACGGCGCGGCAAATATGTCCGGCATACACAAAGGAGTCCAAGCCAGGATTAAAGAAATAGTCCCGACGGCAAATTATGTGCACTGTAAAGCACACGTGTGGAACCTTGCCATTGTCAATGCTTCCCAAGACCCCTCCGTCAGAACGATGATGGCTACAGTACAGGAAATAGCGTTTTCCTTTCACTATTCTGCTAAAAAGTTGGGAAAACTTCAAGACGAACTAGAACAGAACCAGAATGTGAAAGATAAACTTGACGGAAAAAGAAAAATCCAAACACTTTGTGAAACACGCTGGTTTAGTCGTGCCTCTGCTCCATCCACTTTTAAAGCCGCTTTTCCCGTGATCGTAAGTTCGCTTGAGCATTTGCAAAGTAAGGGTGATGGAAAATCTAGTGTCCAACTTTCGACTATTCTGAGATTAGACTTTATACTTCCTCTCGTAATTGTCAATCACATTTTAGAAGCTATTGTTCCGCAATCATCCATGCTTCAGGGCGTCTCTTGTGTTATCTGGATTATTGGCGCGTCACACTGTATATACAATTTTTAGACCATCTTCTAAACGAACTACGAGATCGTCTTGTCAATTCGGAAGAACGTTTTCTTGCCCAGATGCTTCTTCCAAACAATCTGAAAAGTTTGAATCGGGACCATAAAATTCGCATATTTCGCGCCTACGAGTCAGATCTTCAATCAGAAGATCAGTTTGTTCTCAAAATTAAAAGGTGGGTTGCGCGATGGGATATTTATCCTTCTAAGAAACCAGACCAACTCTGTGCAACATTGGAGATGACACCGAAAGAACTTTACCCAAATATATTCTGTATTCTGCAAATACTTCTCACCATGCCACCCTCAACCGCTACTGCTGAACGCTCTTTCAGCGCTCTGAAACGCGTTAAAACGTATCTGAGATCGACCATGGGACAAGAAAGACTTTCTTCACTTGCACTGCTGCACGTTCATTCTGATTTTGACATTGACACTAAAGAAGTTGTTGACACGTTTAACAATGCTAGGCAAAGGAAAATGTTACTCTCCTAAAGGACCTCGGTTGTTAACTTCAGTCTTACATACGAACGTCACATTCATATATCACCAAATTAAAAATTGATTGTTTGAATTGCTTTGTTTTCGTATGTTAACATTAACATATATATGTCATGAGATTATCCAGTTCTCTAGACCTTTCTTTCTCTGGAGCATAATAAATTGGCGAGCATTGCAAAGTTTTTGGATTTTTTTAGTCAGTTTTAGGTCTTTGATTTGATATATAGCAAAACACTCAAACGTACATACTTCAACTTCAAAATTACCCTCTCTGTTTGCTAAATATCTGGGGTTTCACCCCCAGACTTCCACGGTCGCTGCACTGGACCTGCTGGGGGCCATAAGCGGCCCTCGGATCCCTTATACCAGAGCTTAATAACTTTATAATCGAAGGCACAGTCAGGACAACGACATTTTAACGGACCATTTAGCGAACTTTTTTTAGTAAATTCTGTCTCAAAAAAATATGTTTCTCAATTATGCATTCAGTTAACCATGATTTAACCTAATCAAAAGAGATCAAGGCGCTCTTTAGTATATGGAATTGGAACAACAATCTTACCACGAATATTGATTGATAGGCATAGTTATTTGTTTGTGTCCGATGGACCCGCACGTACGAACGAGTCGACCGACAGTCCAACCATCATTGAATAGTTTTGCATTTATGAATTGGTTATAAGACCTTTAAGGCACTTCTTTTTAACCATCTTAGATCGAAAAAAGGTTCCTTTTCTGCAAAAAAGGGTCCAAAATTTGTTTACCTCACTACGCTCGGCAACTTCTGCGTGCACATCATTATAAGTCTACCTACGCCACTGATAGGGATACCGTTGCACCTATGAGTAAAAACCTACATTTACAGACACCTTTTTCCTCTAACCTGGTTCACCTTATATACTTCCTTAACTGGCGACAATTGAATTCAATAGGTCATTGTCCAGATCTCTCTTACTTAAATAGAAACAACCTGCTAACGATTTCTGGATTGCAGCCCGAGTTTCCTTGCTTGATTTATTTCAAACTCATACAGATAGAAGTTATAGAGAAAGTGGCAAAGACTTGGTTTTTATGTCAACATGTCAATGAATATGAAAATAACACTTTGTAAATTTGCTGCGTTAGACCCGCTTTTCTGGATTAATCTTAAACATTGAAAAGATGCTTAAAAGAGGGACGAAAGATACCAGAGGGACAGTCAAACTCACAGATCGAAAATAAACTGACAACGCCATGGCCAAAAATAAAAAGACAAACAGACAAATAACAGTGCAGATGACACAACATAGAAAACTAAAGACTAAGCAACACGAACCCCACCAAAAACTGGGGGTGATCTCAGGTGCTCCGAAGGGTAAGCAGATCCTGCTCCACATTAAAGAATAACCAAATCCATCTAAGATTTCAGGATGGAATCTCCATATGAATTAACACAAATTTATACAGGTGGAAAAAACGAGATAGCATATACCAGAAGGGGGAGCATTTGAAAATCATAAGTTCAATAATAACAGATCATATTATAATCATGGCCAAAAATAAGAAGGACGAAAGGATAACAAAACATTATGTACAAAACTAAAAAACCAAGCAACACGAAATCGATATCAGCTATACCTTTTCGAACCTTTGTTGCAAAAGATTTCTAGTAAGCAGTAACCCTCTATCAAGGAAAAGCGAACCTTGGAATATCGTGTGTACACGTCTGGAATTTTGCTACATAGAAATAGAAAGCTTATAATTTGAAATTTGCAATCATCTCACTTTTCGTAAAGTATACTTCTAAACCGACCGTCATTGTCAATGGCTTTGTGTAAATCAAGATATGAGGCAGATTTAACTGTACCAAATGTATCATTCAGTTCAAGTTCATTTAGATAGATGCAGTCAACATATAGTCACCTTTTGAATTGAAGGACATATTCTAAATGGCGAAAAGTTAAATTGAAAGATAACGCCAACTATTTTCAGTTTTCTGCAGCGGTCTCTGTACGCCATCTGCCTAATATGAACAACGAAACAAGTCGGCAAGCAGAAGGGAACAATAGGTTCCCATAGCAATACAATTTGTCTGAAAATGAGCAATAATATACAAATAAGAACATATGGTATGATTGCCGATGAGACAACTCTCCACAAGTGATCAAGTGACACGGCAATCAACAACAACTATAGGTCACCGTACGGCCTTTAACAATGAGTAAAACCCTTACCGAATAGTCAGCTTTAAAAGGCCCCGAAGTGACAAATGTAAAACAATACAAACGAGAAAACTAATGGCCTGATTTATGTACAAAATAGCACATATACAAATAAGGAAATACACAAAAGAAATGTTTATGGAGACATTGGATACATGTTTATCTGTACCTTCAATTTAAGCAAACTAGTAAGTTGAACCCTTGATTGCTTCACAAATAAAACACTGCTCGAGAGAATTTGTAAAGTCTAAAACAAATGATTTAATTATTCCCTCCTTAAACATGTTAAAGAAAATCACTTTGTACATTTATGTTTGTCGTAGATATGAGATAAGAAATATAATCGTCATCTACATAAAGCGTAATGCAAATAAAGTAATATCTCTAAGTTTTATGTTAACTTCTAGTTTTTTTTTATTATTGTCTCTAAATACTGAGAAATTTATGAAATAACTTATTTGAGGCATGATGGAGTATATGGATTTACATTTGCAACAGATATCCTTTAAAGTTTACTTTTAAGTCCGTCATCTGGTAAATATTGTAGGTGATCAGTCAGGCGACGTTTCCTGTCTTCGTGGTCTTGATGAAGATGATGTTAAGTATTTCAAGTTGTTTGGTGAAGTACAGGAACTGTGGAAGAATGGTAGTAAAGATGAAAATGGTGGTATTCTATACTCAGTCCTTGTATATTTTGTTTTACATGGGTCATCAACGGAAGACGATATCGATTATGAAATTCTAACTAAAATTTATGAAAGTATCTACAAAAGAAGTGTTTCTATTGAAACTGCTTCCATAAAAACGTGCTTAGCGGAACTTGTACCAAAATATCTGGATCAGATTGATGAAAAGTTTACACCTTGTAGTATAAATGTTGTGAAGTCAGTAATATACTCTTTTGGAAATGAATGCTGTGAATGCTTTGTTCAGTATTGCAGTCCTGATATTTTGTTGGATAATGTGATACCGAGTGGTACGAGTACCGATAATTTTCATGTATCTGTTGATGCTAGCGTACTTGTACCTGTACTTGTTCAGAGAATGTTAAGTACTTCTGTAGCAAAGTCTATCGGGAAATACGTATGCATTTTAACACATATTCATGAGAATGTTGAAACTGCCAATTTATTCATTGACGAACTGGAACAGAGTGACGAAAGTTTCACATCAGATCATATGATTTGTCTTTTAGATGGTCTTACAAAAATGGGAAAAGAATTTGAAATATTCGAAAAATTAGAAAAACTCTTTAACGTATTCTGTCGTCAAGTTGATGAATTCGGAAACACGTTATTTCATTATTTGGTTGCCCGGTTTCCGGAATCAAAAAGATTTAATTCATACATTAAGTTCTTCTGTGAAAGTAATATAGTGGTAATGCAACTAGAAAATGATGAAAAATACACCGCGATAGACTTTGCATCTTATCAAGGAAGATATGACGTCATTGCAGACGTCTTGTGTAATATAGATAATACAGAAGATATAATTGCCAGAATTTTAAATATGGTAAAGGATGGAGTTGATTCACTCCAGCATATGAACTCAGAATCAGAAGTTGCGTGTAAATTGCATCTTTCAGCAGAGACAGATATTTCACTTGGTGACAGTCAAGATTATGAAAATATTCTTGACATAATAGGAAGACGTGAAATCGTTGTTTTCAATGGTGGGAATACACAAGACGAAGACGATGAAAAACGCCCTAGTAAAAGGAAAGAAGAGACATCATCCAAAAGCGCAGATGATATGTCAAAAAGCATTGGAGAAGGTATAATTGATTTGGTAAAGGAAATCAACAAGAGCCTAAATGTAATCACTAAATTTCCTAATTTGGTTCAAACAATTCACCAGGCGATACAAAATGAAGACAAACATTAGATATTACTTTGTAGAATCAGTTCATGGTAATTTTGAACGATCAAACGTCGTATCAGATATGACAATAAAAACATAAAGTTTTCTTTATAGATGCTACTTTCAGTGAATCGAACGTGGTAAGGGTATATATTATAGTGCATGTTAGTTCGAGACGTTAGTTCTTTTTATTGTATTACAAAACGTGGGAAATAAAATGTAATCAAATGTTTAAACGAGTACTTTTTAATACGTTTCACATTTTTCTTGCATTTTCCCTACAAATTGATAAACAAAGAAGACATATATGTGTAATGCATTTCAACTGGTTCTTTTGAAAATGGTGCAGTCTTTTCAATCAGTGTTTGAATATGTTTAGGATCAACCAACCCTAAATATGGTTAAGATCACTCGTGATTTAATTTGTTTTCAGCAGAACCAATAAGGTCTGAGTTTAATTTTACATAACTCAAGATCTTTCCTTATTTCTTTAAGTGAAAAAGAATCGCATTTTCAGGAGGCAGCGTAAAAGGATGTCATATTACTTTGCCATTGTACATAGACTACATGAAACTTCGAAATTGTACAGTTATGATTTACATTTTCAAATTGTTATTTCTCTATATAGCTAGTGGGAGTAGTAATTCAGCTTTATGAGTATAAAATAACGAAATGAGGAATGATTGCCAATGAGACAAATTTACACGAAAGGACAGGAATGTACGATAACCAACTTCAGATCACACTGTTCAGACTACCACAATGAGTACCATGTCTGATACAATTCACTACTACGTTTGTGTTTACGATTTTTATTGGTATATTCTAAGCTGATAAGTAACATATATATGTATACATATATAATTGTACTTTTGTTTCATTACACAAAAGCATTGATGAACAGTCTGTTACAAAAACATAACTGATTCAAAGATAAATCTGTCTGAAATCTTATCAAAATAAAGCAAAGGTAACGATCAGGGGACAGCACTCCTAAGTCTAATTCAAAGATTTATCTCATTTAACTAACTCAGGTCTGCCCACTTAATTTGCATAAATAAATATTTAATGTAAGTCATTATAATGTGTTGGATATTGTCCTGATGGTGACAAGGCGGTTAAAGAAGAAAGAAAGACCATACAGTAACACTTGATACGTAAGCTTGGCATGTTGTTTTTTGTTTACTGATGTTTGTCTATTCGTCGTTTTTCGTTTTCCATTGCATTGTAAGTTTATTTTCGACTTACGAGTTTGAATGTCCCTCTTGGTATCTTTCACCTCTCTTCGACTAGTGTTCAGTACCTTAATCAACGACAGATGGGCTTTGCTCATTGTTGAAGGCCTTACGGTAACTTATAGTTGTTTATTTCTGTGTCATTTGGTCTCTTGTGGAGAGTTGTCTCATAGGCAATCATACCACATCTTCTTTTTTATAATGTCCATTTCAAGTGGCAACATGAAAATAATTCATAGTCAACCTAATCAAGAGAAGTTTAATCAATAATTATTTTAAAGGGTTCATTTCTTAATACCATTCATTCACAAGAAAAGTGATACCCATAGAGTGCAGCGGTAAAATCTACATAATCACATTTGTCCTAACAGCAATCGATTCACGCTCATAGCAAGTTACATTGTTGTATGTGGTAAAGGTTATTATAGAGTAAATAAAATTGAGAATGGAAATGGGGAATATGTCAAAGAGACAGCAACCCGACCAAAGTGTAGAAAACAGCCGAAGGCCACCAATGGGTCTTCAACACTGCGTGAAAATCCCGCCCCGGAGTACTACTAGTACCCGTAGTGTCGCGGTAGTAACAAAGAAAAGTTGAGACAAACCAATACTAGTGGCCAGCTGAAGCCCGCCTCCGAGTGCGAGATTTTCTCGCTGTGTTGGAAAACCATTTTACTTTTCGTATCAGTTGATACAATAATTTATCAAATCAAAGAAAAACATTCACCCTCGGCCGTTGTCCTCGGTTAATATTATATCTTCGGGTCGATAAATCATTTTCTCTAATTCTTAGTCGATTTATACTTTTCCTGACCTGTTGATTATTATTTTTTTATCAAATTGTGGTTCGTTTGATCTCACTTTGCCATTGGTCAAAATTCGAATATGATGTCTAATTCTCTTGCTTTCCTCTGAAATTCTCATTATGACGTCATGGTAAAAGGCGACAATGCCTAATGACGTCACATAGAAAGATCCCATCTTTTTGCAGATCATTCGTAAAGAAGGATTATGATTGTCTGCATATCGTATAAAAATCGTTAGAGAAACAGATTCCACCACCAAATATTGTGCAATACGCAATGATATGTATCCACTCTCGACAGTAAAGTTATAAGTATTAAAACGCTCGGCGAGCCTCGCGTTTTAAATTTAAAAATTTAACTATCTCGAGTGGATAAATATCGTATCACACTTGATGCAGTGGTAGAATCTATATGAATCAACCTCATCAAATCATCAATAATTGTATAATGTAAATTTGGTTTTGGTCAAGAAACAAAAACAATGGTGATGTCGCATTATAATTTGATAGATTATGCATACAATCTAGACATGCTGACCTATAATTGATGATTGAAAAAATAGAGTTAACGATTTTATTTGCTTAAAAGTAATCGAATAAAACTTCTTTCAATAGATGCAGATTTGCATGGAATACACGTAAAATAGGCAAAATTGTTTTAGAGGTACCTTGAAATCCTCATTTCTACTTGGCAGGTTCGTAATTCTTTTTTTTTTTTAGGTATACACGTTCGCCAATTAAAAAAAAATGTTAAAAGATCACCAGGATCGACACCTACTTCGTTTTTAGTATAGTCTTCCTCAAATTGAATATATTGTTTTGGAATTCCGAATGCTTCGAGCGTTAAAAAGAAGTCGACATAATCTTTGTACATTTTTACAAAAAAAAGTGTGTACATTAAAAGCAAACAGTAACCCTTTGATAATTTTACATGAATTATACGTAAATTTATAAATATAATAATCAAACAGTAACACATCAATGTGTAGAAAAATAAAAATATTCGGACTTCTTTTAAACTGAATTTTACTGTGCGTATTGCTATGTGTTTCTTTTTTCTACCTTGACTAGAGGTATAGGGGGAGGGTTGAGATCTCACAAAACATATTTAACCCCGCCGCATTTTGGCGCCTGTCCCAAGTCAGGAGCCTCTGACCTTTGTTAGTCTTGTATGTTTTTTTAATTTTAGTTCATTTATATGTTTTGGAGTTTAGTGTGACGTCCATTATCACTGAACTAGCAATTTTATTTAGGGGCCAGCTGAGGACCACCTCCGGGTGCGGGATTTTCTCGCTGCATTGAAGACCCATTGGTGGCCTTCGGCTGTTGTCTGCTCTTTGGTCGGGTTGTTGTCTCTTTGACATATTCCCCATTTCCATTCTCAATTTTATCATTGTGAAATCGCTTTAATATAATTTTAAGAATGTATTACGTCGATTTTACTTGCCAATATGTAATTGAGGTAATTTTTTCAAAAACATCTAATCAATTTAAATGTTTTACATATTTTACTATGAAGCGTTTAAAGAAATAATTGTTACAGTAGTGTTTTTTTTTTTAAATCTTTTATATTTAGATTGTTCGTGCTATGCGTTTGTTTTTATGTGTTTGTTTTTATATGTATTTTGTTGATTTTTTTTGTCTTTTGCAAAAAGGGGATGGTGTTTTTAAACAATATTACATGCAAAAAGAAAAATAATCTATATTTGTTCTAATGTTTCGACTAGAAAAATTCTAAGCGGAATAATTTGTAATCAATTGTAACATAACACCTGTTATGTGTCAGTAGTTTTGTCATGTAGTTTATAACCTTTTTGTTTTTTAAATTGTTATTTTAACACATTACGATTTCAATCAATTGATCATAAATGGTGCATAAATGATTTTACTATTCAGTGGAAGATTAAACGACAATTTTAAAATGTCGACAGCAAGTTTTATACGATCAGAACAAACCAATGCTTGCTATCTTTGTAATAAGAAGGTTATACAATTTAGATGTACAGACTGTGAAATTCTTATATGTCCGGATTGTAAGAGGAAACATTTAGAAATAAAAAATTCAAATGGACATCATATAACACGTGTGACAGGATGGGAGAGGCGTCGACAACCATGAGTTTTTAAATATCCGAACAAGCCCTGTGCTTTTACATTTTTTATACTACAATAACTAAAAGGTGTTTATAATTATATGTCTTTTTACTACAGGGAGTACTTTTTATGCATCTGATTACTACAATTAGTACGTTTTAATCGTGTTCTTACTACAGGAAATACTTTTTATGCGTCTTATTACAACAAGCAGTACGTTTTATGCGTCTTCTTTCTACAGGAAGTACTTTTTAAGCGTCATTTTCCTACAGGAAGTAATATGCAGCTACTGTTCAAATAAAGAATCTTTTGTATTTTCAATGAGATAAATACATGTATACATGCTTGCGTTCCTAACTTTGCGTCGCATCCAGTGTATAGTTGTGTTACCTTCATATTTAATGTCTAAACGGTCTCTATGAGGTGTGCGTTTACTGTTACATATATCAACGCGTGTGCTTTCAGATATCTACAGGAATATAATTGATTATTTTCAGCTTCAAGGATAGTCGTCATATACATGGATTTTATTGCTTCACTTCTAAGATTGTACATTATTTGTTTTCAAGTATTCCGAAATAGTAACTAAGATTTAAATAAGCATATGAATATTATTCAGCGGTGATAATTTTGTAGGTGACCGTAAAGATATAGGTTTAAACATTGTACGTTATACAACTATAAGAGTTTAAAAAGGATAGGTTAACCCACACGTAACTGTTTACAACAGTTTTTATGCTCCACCTAGGGGCATTATGTTTTTAGGTATGTGCGTCCGTCCCTTCGTCCGCCCGTCCGTCCCGCTTCAGCTTAAAGTTTTTGGTCAAGGTAGTTTTTGATCAAGTTGAAGTCCGATCAACTTAAAACTTAGTACACATATTCCCTCTGATATGATATTTTTAATTTTCATGCCAAATTAGAGTTTTGACCCCAATTTCACGGTCCACTGAACATAGAAAATGATGGTGCGATTTGGGCATCTGTGTACTGTGGACACATTCTTGTTGTGTTAGTTATTTTATAATTCATCATATACTAATTCATTTTATAAATAAGAATTTTATTCTCTAATGATCTTTAAAAAATGAATATAATCTAATAA